TCTTTAAATAACTGAGGAGAAAGTGCTGCCTTTGTAATAACATCTGCAAATGGTTAGATTTTCTAGTCTTCTCGGATAAGGACGATAAACCGTAGGCCCCGTCTCACAAGCCCTTGCACATGTAATAAATCTGTGGGACGTTAAAGAACCCACACACTCTTCGTAAAGAGTAGGGCACGTAGTGCCCGGTGTAGTGGTCTATCTCACTTTCACACTCATGTATGGGGGCATCATCACTCATTCCTTCAGTACTTGTAAACTGCACCTTAAGCAGTCTGGCAAAAGTCCCCCAACCAGTGTTGTAAATTATCCCTGAAAAGCCCTGTGGGGAGTGGATAATAAGATATTTACATTTACATTTACATTTCAACTACTGCACCCGAAGGCCAGAGAAATAGTTCTTTACGGCCGACAAAATGGCATGACACTTTCCACCTAATGTATATGAAGCATCTATGTATCACTGTGGGACTTGGGATTGCCTAAATTAAACGTATTTTGGCTGAAACATTTATGGGAGGAATGATTTGTGTCGCGTCAAACCTCTTGACTGTCGAGTTAGAAAGGTCAAATTACACTCAAGTGCTCTGTGAATTTTGTGTTCCCAAAAATTTATTTCTTATGTTGCCCAGAGTTTTGAAAGCATATTTTGAAAGCTTAGAGATTGCTTTTTAACGTGGAATGTCTTTTTTTTGTTAGAAATCATGTATCGGATGTGATTTTAGGCCTTTGAAATCTGACAATATTTTGCTCGCGTAAAAGCCTTTAAGTTTTGTAAATATTTAAAAATCCGTAAAATATTCCAGTTGCGATCAGTTCAAGAACATGACCACTCAGTATGTGTATTAAGCTCCTTTTAATACGGTAAGAAGCTTTTTGGGTTGAATGATATTTGAATTCGATTGAAATCGTGGTATTTTCGTAGCCCGGTCTAGGGGCCAGAAAAAGCGGTCTAGCGGAGGCTGTCAATCGCCCGAACTTGACATTCGCCGTATCGCCAGAATATTTATCCAATGAAACTAAAATTTATATTTTCATGACTAGAATACCTAGGGGGGTCTACATTTTCAAAAATTTAATTTTTCTCACCGCAGGTCGATATTTACAGACATCCGCTCTTAAGTTGTCGCGAACCGAATAATTGACGTTAACGATCAAATTGCAACGGGAGTGGACTGAAATTTTCCAAAGTATGTGATATAGAGAGCTGCCATTTGTTAACTGGGCTGCCTGTGGGGCAGCCCAGTTTATAAAATGAGTTCCATTTTTTTTCTCGCAGGGTTATGTCTTGTCTCAATGTCTTTTTATCTTATTGCGATCCTTGCTTTTCGTGTGAAAGAAATGTCTTGGGGAATTTCCGCTTAGGTCAAATTGGTCACACTATATTTTGGGGGACACAGGGATTTGGGAAGGGGTACGCAAAAAAAAATAATATTGTATCATTGTATAATATTGTTTTTTGTTTAGAATGGCTCACTTGCTTTTTTTTGTTCATAATGGTGGAATTTGAAAAGGTACTATACAGCCCCGAAGTAAAAATGGTACTCATTTTTCTTGTTACAAAAGTCTTCCAAAAGGGTACAATGTTCGAATGAGTAAATGTTTTTAAAATTCTCACATGAGATGCTATGTCACGCAATGGTCAGCGGCAAGCCTGGTGGCCTCGGAGCGGTCACCCTCTCCCCCAGGAAAATTGGTAGCCCAGTTAAAATCGCCTATTGGCGAGCCTTGTTGTAATTCCGATGTGTTTTGAACAACACCTCTTTGCATGATTTAGGGCCTGTTTACATGGAGGTGGGGGACCCCAGGTAGGTGTGGTAACCCGCTTGTTATATAATCTTTCATTTTAATTTGATCACGTTTACATGATAGGTGGGGTGAGCAGCCACATGTTACTTCACCTATCTGGGGTCCCCCATCGCTTACTTGAAGACAATAACGCTGCTGACCATAATTTCATTCATTTTTTGTTTACTTCATTTTCAAACACCATGCACAGTTAATTCTCTCTTTACTGGGTTAAGGTTTCCATATAAATTATAAATTCTTTAGAATGTTGCGGATCTACTTATACTTGTTATCACTGTTAAGCAATTACTCATTCCTTAAACTTAAACAAATTCCTGCTCAGTCGCGCGGATTTACCAGTTTGCGCTCGCCGCTCGCCTTTCCTCGTATTACTGATAGAATTAATAGAGGCTGACTTGGTCTGAAGTTTACTCTTTCTTAGCTCCAATCCTGGACAAACGTCCTTGGAATAGTGATGCACTATTCATAATATTCTGACATTTCATTGTGCGCTACTAAAAACGTACAACCTCTTTGAAAATATCTCAAGTTCTCTCCCCCACTCTATACTGTTGAAACTTGGGAAAATTCTGGATACACACGTCTTGCTTCGTTTGTGGCGTGGCGGAGGGAGGGGTTGGGCATGTGTGATTTAAAGAAAGTCCCACGTATGCAAATGTATCCCAGGACGTTTGTACACGATTCTAGCTTGTTGACCAATGTTAAGCTACCATCACAAGAGTGTAGAAATATTCTGTATTTTACCAGCTTAATCTGAATCATAATTTTGTGATCAACATATTCAGCAGTTGCACTCTTCTTCCATGACCAAAATGAACTATGAATTTGAATACAAGGGTTAATACTTTGGGGAAAAAATTGGCATCGGTAACCTAATACCGAGAAACCTTTAACTTCACCAGAAAATGTTTAAGGTTTCTTGATAACAACAAACCCCTAATTCATTTTTTTATGTCCATGCAAACAACATTTACTTCCATTTGGTGAATGCTTTTTAATCTTATTGTCCTAAGAGGTCTAAGAGAAGACTGATGTTGAGTGACTGGTCAGACAGCCGAGCAGAAGGTGCAACGGTTCACTAAAGAAAGGGGCCCAGCAGTGATACTGTGGAAGTCAGGGGTAAGTGATATGAAGAACAAATATTCTATTCAAAACTCGTTGGCACTCCTGCGTAACTCACGTTGAGTGCTCATTCTTATTTTTTCAATCTGCAGATAACAAACAGTGTTGTCACAACTCATGTAAAACCCTTGTTTTAAAGAGCAAATTCCAACTCAAGGCACTAGTGAAAAATTGAGCATATAACATTGGTGAAAATTTGGTTCCTTCTTTATTATAGGGATCTAAATTATGTTTTGCAGGTCTACTCTGATGGCTTCTGCTCCAACATTAGCTTCCTCCACCAAAGAGACCACTAATTACGCAAGGTTATGTCGCCTTTTAGTAGATGGAGGCACCAAGGCCTTAAGATACACTTTTGAAAAATTATACTCTCCAGCAAACCTGTGTACTGTATTGAAAGCAAACCATTCAACTCTGGAATCCCTTAAAAATAAGAAAATCATCAATGCCACACAGTGGGGTAAACTGTATCCCTCTACTGCATTGTCTGTAACATCAGAAGACTTTGACATCACGCTACTGATTGTGCTACTTAGGAACATCTGTCATCTGGCGGCTCCGGCCACAGGCTGGGACGGTCTTCCACCTGCTTCAGACACGGGTATTGAGGCTAACCTAGCCAGAGTAAAGTACTATAGGAACTCGGTCTATAGGCATGCCATGCAGGCGTCTGTGGACGATCCAACATTTAATTCTTTGTGGCAGGACATAAGTGCCGCACTGATTGCACTGGGTGTAGATGCAGCCGCTATCAAAAAACTAAAGACTGAGACTATGGATCCAGACACGAAGCAGCATTACCAGGAGCTGTTAAAGGAATGGAAGAAAGGCGAAGACAACATCAAAGACCAGCTAGATAAAATGGAGGGTATAGATGAATGTTGTTTAGTGCCTTTGAGAAATAAGTGTCCTTTTCTGACCTTAATAGGGTGTAGTTAGGGTTCAATTGAAAGTTTGGAATTGCCCAAAATTAACTTCTGCTTCCAAAGATCGCGAACACATTTGGAAAACAATAAACTGACATCCGACAGAAGGACTGCAAGCAGGTTTAGTTTAAAGCTTAAGGCTAGTGATTGTATTAGTGAGTTGTAGTGGTGAGAATACACTTTGACGTACGAAAAGTAATATACGTACTTGGTTATTCATTAATAAACAGAATGTGTTAGAAAAAGAGTGGCAAGCGAATGGAAGACGAGTTAGTTATTATCTCAGTTGACGAGTTCGACACTGATGGTAACTTAATTTTTTTTTCTCCTGGCAAAATCATAGGTAATCTTGAGCACATGAAAAGTGAAATGGGAAATATGAGTGAGACGCTGAAGGCTATGAAAAATTCTGCGACAGAGTGTGGAGGTCAGTTTCAAAAAAGTAAACCATGCAAGATTTATGAATTCTTTGAGTCAAGCTAACTTTTAATCATGTTTTAAACAAACTGAATATCAAATTTTCAAGACCTTGTAAGGTAGGGGTGATAAACAAAACTATGGTATTTCTCTTAATATAAATCATAAAACACATGATAAGAAAATAGACAATATTAGCGATCAGGAAAGCCGAGGAACGCCGAGGGATCAGTTCCCGATGTTTAATTCCAACTTCCGTAACTTGGGCACCATTTCTTTTAATTACTATATGTATTGCTATATTGCTACGAAATTTATTCCAATCAGCTTTTATTGATCACGTGTATGGAGAAGACTGTCACTTACAAGGTTAAATTATTCTTATCGTCTATAAAGGGTGTGTGATGAAAGTTTAATTTTGCTTTGTGTATTCTTCTCGCTAACAGATGGAACAAGAGAAGATTTAAAGAAGATAAAAAGCGGGATAGAAAACATCAGTGAGACACTGCAGACCTGAAAGGTCTCTCCGACCAAAGAGGAAGGTCAGTTTCCCCAAACTGCAGCCATAAAAGAATCCCTCTTATATGGCTCTTTAAAGCCATTATTGCTGATCGATCAGTAGTTATTTTTCGTACAAATGTCTTCTTGTGTCCCACAAGAACAGCTTCATATCCACAAGAGGGACCAAAGTGCTGCAAGTTATATATCTGCCTTCAATAATTCTCTCAGTGAGTAGGATGAGGGATGACATAAACGCTATTTTCCTGTAGGATGGTGGCGTTGGAACCGTCTACTAGCATGGGGGTATCTTGGTTTCAATACCGAGTGGTCTCCCACCTTTTTTGGTAATTTTCAGCCAGTGTTTTTATTTTGCAACAGTTTTTTTATTTCCATCATGTCCCTTGTTGGAAATATACTAGCCCCAGATTAAAAAATAGATGCCGACCTTTGAAACTCTACAACCACACGGGACTGTGAGTCCTCAAATACCCTTACCTTTTTTAACGGACAATAAGTTCACAAAGCAGTGGTCTATTTGCCCTGCTTCTCGCAAATTACAGTGGCCTGCTAAAAGACTGTTCTTAAATTTAAAAAGAGGGCCTTTACCATCTTCCATTTACTTATTGAAGGTTCACCCTGCCGCTAGTTTGAAATGTTTGTCGCTTGCTTTTAACGCGGCAGATGGCTAGGGTAGTAAATAAATAATTGGCCTTCTCCTAGCATAGTCATATTGGTAGTTGTATTCATTTGCCTTACGGACTTGGGAAGTAGCAAACCAAGCTGTCTTAGACAACTATTTAAAACGAAGTTGGTTCTCATTTGTTCTCAACAGCTGGTTTGGTGGCCGAGCATATTGAAATCATTCGCCAGAAGTACAAACGTCATGAGGGATGGCTCGCGCCTTTTTCTTTTTTTTTTAGCGATATTTATACACGCCTTCGTATGGTCAGCAGAGAGAAAAAGGCGAGAGCAACAGCGGAGCAAAGAGTTGTTGAAACGACTGAAATCTTCAAACCCCACGAAGAATGCAAACAACCTAGAAAAGTATTGATTGAAGGAAACCCAGGGATGGGAAAGACGACATACTGCAATAAGGTTGCTTACGACTGGGCTATAAACATAAAAAACGAAGGAGATTGCTTTTCGGAATTTGAGATGGTACTCTTGCTGAAATGCCGTGATGCTGAGATCGATTCCGACCTTTGGGGAACCATTGACGATCAGCTTTTGCCAGGTGAAATTAATCAAAAGGAAAGAGAGAATTTCTTCGATTTCATTTGGCAAAATCAATCAAAGGTTCTACTGATACTTGACGGATTGGACGAGCTACCTTCGAGCAAACTGCCGGAGTTTACCGATATCATACAGGGTAAAATACTTCCCCAATGTCACCTTGTGGTTACAGCGCGACACGAGGCTGGGATACCAGTGAGAAAAGTTTGTGACACTGCTAGAGATTGAAGGTTTCACTTATGAAGATGTCAAAGAATTTATTCACAAATATTTTGTCGGCAAGGAAGATTTGGCCGAAAAGCTCTTGAATAAGATACAGAATGAGGAAAGTCTCACAGAGATGGCGGCAAACCCTTTAAACACTGCACTTCTTTGCCTTCTTTGTGAAGACTTTCAAGGTATTTTACCTGACAGCAGAACTCAATTGTACTCGGAAATAGTACAATGTGTTCTTATCAGATACAGGAAAAAGAGAGGTCTTCCAGTGCAAAATGAGGATCTGATTGAAATCTACAAAGATCAGTTGAAACTCCTTGGCTTGATAGCTTTAAACGGCCTGTATGAAGACAACATGTACTTTGAGGAAAAAAAGCTTTCAAGTGAAAATGCTGACTTACCTGAATTTGGCTTTCTGTCAGCTCAACCTGGAAGCAGCAAACGAAGGCCGTGTCTGTGCTACGGCTTTACGCATAAGAGTTTTCAAGAATTCTTCGCAGGGTATTATCTTTGTTGACAGCTTGTTAGCGAAGAAATCAGTCCCTTTATATTAGTCAATGACACAAGACATTTCCATGAGCTGAGAGAGGTATTAAAATTTACCTGTGGTCTGCTAGCAGTGAGATCTGAAGAAAGTACAGTATCCCTTATCCTCTGCATAGCGAATGAGGTAAACGAAGAAGATGAGGGAGAATGTTTACCTGTCGCATTGGAGTGCATAAAAGAATGCAAAGTTGAAAACAGTTATTTTCATATAGAACTGGCACGTACGTCTGGCCTATTTCTGGAAGTTCAAGAGGCTGATCTTCAAGAGGAAGGTATAGGTGATGCTACTGCTCCTGTCCTTGCTGCTGTACTTGAAACAAACACAACGCTGACAAAGTTGGTTTTGGATGGTAATAGGATTGGTCCTGTCGGTCCTGAGTCACTTGCTACAGTGCTTAAAACAAACACAACTCTGACAAATTTGGAGTTGTCTGGCAGTAACCTTGGTCCTGCTGGTGCTGAGTCACTTGCTACAGCGCTAAGAATAAACACAACTCTGACAAATTTGGAGTTGTCTCGCAATAACCTTGGTCCTGCCGGTGCTGAGTCACTTGCTACAGCGCTTAAAACAAATACAGCTCTGACAAATTTGCATTTGTCTGACAATAACCTTGGTCCTGCTGGTGCTGGGTCACTTGCTACAGCGCTTAAAACAAACACAGCTCTGACAAATTTGCATTTGTCTGTCAATAACCTTGGTCCTGCCGGTGCTGAGTCACTTGCTACAGCGCTTAAAACAAACACAGCTCTGACAAATTTGAATTTGTTCTGCAATAACCTTGGTCCTGCTGGTGCTGAGTCACTTGCTACAGCGCTTAAAACAAACACAGCTCTGACAAATTTGGATTTGTCTGACAATAACCTTGGTCCTGCCGGTGCGGAGTCACTTGCTACAGCGCTTAAAACAAACACAGCTCTGACAAATTTGGATTTGTCTGACAATAACCTTGGTCCTGCCGGTGCGGAGTCACTTGCTACAGCGCTAAAAACAAACACAACTCTGAGAAATTTGCATTTGTCTGTCAATAACCTTGGTCCTGCCGGTGCTGAGTCACTTGCTACAGCGCTTAAAACAAACAAAGCTCTGACAAATTTGCATTTGTCTGTCAATAATCTTGGTCCTGCCGATGCTGAGTCAATTGCTACAGCGCTTAAAACAAACACAACTCTGACAAATTTGGATTTGTCTGACAATAACCTTGGTCCTGCCGGTACGGAGTCACTTGCTAAAGATCTTAAAAAGAAATAAACACAACTCTGGAAAACATATATTTGTGTGAAGGTAATTATGAAATTAGTGAATCTGTTCAGAACACAATTTACAATGCTCACGGTAACCGTATTCGATATAAGCGATATTGGCCTTTATAAGAAATTAGAAAATTTGTCAATACTAATTACGAGTCACAGATTGCCCTTTTTTTCTTTCTTTCTTTTTGTGCTATTTGTAAAACTCACCACGTTCTTTCAACGTAAATGGATTTTTTCAGTTTAAGAAAAAAACACGCATACGTTCAGTATAGTTTCGTAGTTAGAGCCTGACGAGAAGGTAGTCCATGCAATGATATTTTTAAAATTTAGTTATTAAACAAAGGAATTATCCTGAATTTCAGCCGCCTTCTCCCCTCGCTCACTCGGGGAGTTTGCGACTCGCGGAGACATGGCTGAAATTCAGGCTAACAAAGGAATGTAATCAGAATATATGTACATGGAGGGCTGTCCGTCAGATATCTTTGTTTTACATTTTTAAGCCGAGGAATTTTTGCGAAAAGTTCCAGATGAAAACTTTCTGCTTTAACAGCTGTCTTGCCCTTGCAAGTTTTTAGGACTTCTGGATTAGACTGTATTATGTAGAGAATTTGCATGGGAATGATCTATCAGATATTTTAAAATTATCAGTCAGAGTTTCAGCGCAGCGATATTTCACCCATCTGTTAATTTTTTTACGAATTGAAAATTTTCTCAGCTGACGGTTAAAATCTTGGCCAATTTTCAGCTATCAGTCAAATCCCATCCAGATCCTCTATGTACTGAAATACAAGCTTTACTTACACTTGTACTTTTAAAATACGAATTGAAAATTTTCTCAGCTGACGGTTAAAATCTTGGCCAATTTTCAGCTATCAGTCAAATCCCATCCAGATCCTCTATGTACTGAAATACAAGCTTTACTTACACTTGTACTTTTAAAATGTCCATTGTTTCGGTTCAAGGTTTGTTAGCATACAGTGCAAATTGTACATTTTGAGACAACTGAAACTTGTGACGAGTTCGTGTCAAGTTCCCGTCGTAACAAGCATATATATGTCATTGCAGCTGATCAAAACTTGGGTAAATAAAAGTATTGTGAGATATATATATATTAGTGAGAAAAACGTGTGCTCATGTCTTTATTAAGCCCACTTTATTTTCCATATACTTCGTGCACAAAAAAAGAAATATTAAGAAAAAAGTACTGGTGTTGTACCTGTGATGGGTGTTGTCCCTTTGAACAGTGTTGATTCTGTGACGGGTGTTGTCCCTGGAGGAACGTTCAAAAACCAAACAAACAACAACGCCCTTCGGCCCGGGGTGAAGCCCATACGCAGTAGAATATTCGCTAACGGTCACCATCTCCGGTGGGCCAAAAATTTCTTTCGTGGACTAGCCTAATCCGTTGAAGTGTATCCGATATAAACGCGCACCGAACTCCTAACTAACAGATGAAAATAAAGATTTTCGAAAGCGATGAAGAAACAGCATCGGATCTCACGCGGGATAACAATGTTTCATTTTTTTTTAAAGATTTGTGGCATATCTTATGTTATTATAGTTTTTTGTTAAAATGTCCAAGCTTGCTTTTTCAGAATATTACTTAATCAGTAGCGCTTGCTTCAAGATGCCACCGGACTTCGAAATCAAATTGTTGAACGACTCAACGGGGTTCCACAGGCAAGACCTCGGAGGTACTAGGCCGGGGTGGATACTGTAGAAAGTTTTAGACGGGGAGGCTGCGCCCCGAGGTCCAACCCCTTACCCTTTTATATACCCATGCATTTTTGAGAGAAGTGGTGCCCCTTTCGTATACCTTCCACGGACAAATGGTACCGCTTTCACATACCTAGTTTAGAACTTTGCATCCCTTTGAACTGCTAGAAATGTACTGTCTGTAAAGTTTTAATAAATCGCAATAAACTTTTTCACAGCCATAAAATAAATCCTTCCTTAGCCCTTTTAAGTCGTTTTACACCAAGATGACAGATTGCCCTACCCTTCCATATATACTTCAACTGGTGAGATCCCTTCATATACATGAAGCATAAAAAAGGTTCCCCTTTCGGGCGAAGCCTCCCCGCAAAGTCTACAATATGGGGAGTACCCTCCCCCGGGGTACTAAGTAAGACTGGTAGTCACTAGCAGATCGATCAAACATTGATTGGTACGCGGGAGAATTGAACTGAAAATGGTCTAAGGCCAATCCGTGTAAGAACATGTCTGTTTTTTTAAAAAACAGAATGGGATACGTGTGGTTGGGTAAAAACGATTAAAAAGCGATAAGTGGACGCGAATCAGTTTTGCCAAGATGAAAAAAAGTCCATTTTCACCAGAAAAGGGGCAGAGTGTCGGGCGGATTGGGTTTAAGTCTTGGGCTCTAAGCTGCGACAACGATATTCACTCTCAATTTTTGTTTGAACCAACAGTTTTTAAGTCCTTGGCATCTACGGCGTTCATTCTTTTCTATCGTTACTTTTATGAATTGCTAAGTAAACATAATAATCTTTAACTAGTCTACTACTAAGCTTTTGTAATCTGCCCAGAACTAGCTAGTCGGCAGGTTTTGAAATAGATAGCCCTTTTGCATGTTTACGTCACACAAGGAAATTTCACCACCAAGCCTCGTTTTGAAATGATACATAAACAAACTGATACATAAAGAAAATCCTCAAGAAAAAAGAGTTAAAAAGAATGCCCACGCAGACAAGGCTTGGTGGGGAAATTTACTTCTCTGACGTAATCATATATACACAAGGGCCATTGCTTCACATTTTAGATCCCACTTTTGCAGAACGTGATATAAAACAGTTTAGCGTATTTTATCAAGAGCCCTAAGATCTTGAATTCGTTGCCAGCTTTGTTGATTAGTTAACTGTCCATTCAATTTCTCATTTGTAGTCTTTATACGCTTCATACGTAGTGGGAAGAAGTTGTTAGAATATCAATTATCGACAATTAAATTCATCTTGTATGATCAATCCCTTAATTCTTGTGACCTTATAACTGTTTCATGAAGCATAGATATTACATGGAGAAAATTGATTTTGATCACTGAAAAGGGTTAAGCAATATAAATATTTCCTTAAAAGCTAGTATGTTTGTTTATTTTAATAAATAAAATTAAACAAAGCTGTCTTAGCTGACGCTTTTTCATGCTGATTTTTTTCTGTTTGTCCGCCTACAGATCGATCTACTTCGGTCATATTTTAATTTTACTGCACGCATTTGCGACTTTAATTAGTTTCCTTCAAGAAAATATTTTTTTTCCCTTGTCACCCTGGCTGGGCTTTTGTCTACATCCCTGAGTCTACAGTTTCAAACTCCTCGGTGGGATATTTGTATGAATCTGCCAACCCGATCGTGGAGCATGTACATGTTTCCGAAGGAAAATTGAAGGGGGCGCGGCTTGTATTTTTCCCCTTTACGTAAAAAATGTCTCGCAGTCCCCGTTCAAAGAAGAAATAGGAAGATTTAAGCAGAGATAGCGCAACGAAAAATGATCAAATGAGAACGCTGAAGCGCGCTAGGAGGTTCTTATCGGTTTTGTTGCTAGGCAACTGCAGATGCCATCGGTTCCTGTCCGATATATGGAAATATCAGGACCATCATGGGCTCATGGAAATATAAATGACGAAACTGAGATCGATCACATCACAATAACCGATCCATGAGGGAGCAACGTGGCAAGTTCTCGACAAATTGAACCAGCCCGGCTAATATAATGTCAGGTAATTTGTCTCTTGCCAAAAAAACTTTTCTTTTGGATGAACAATGAGTGCGTATTATTCTAGCAATACTTTTGCAGAAGAGAAGGTGATTGTTCCTTCATCCGTTTTTCAGACCTGATCCCTAGTACCAAATTTTTCTTAGGTAACGTTTTAAAATTCCCTTTTTCCATTTTTCTATGTCAACGTTGTTGCAATAGGCTATTTATATCATGGCGTCATTTTAATAGTATGCCCAGAATCTTTGTCGTGATTCCTTAGATTTATGCATATTTACTTTTGTTCATTCCAGTGAGGTTTAAAGGTACGGAAAAACGGGTAAAAAACCCCATGCAACTTGTTTTGCACCATTGTTGCAAAACGAGTTGAACAGCGACGATGTTGCGCGTTTTACCACCCACGAATTAAAACCGTTCAACTCTGTTTGGTGCATTGATTGGTAAAGCGCACAACATCGCTATTCAACTCGTTTTGCAGAAATGTTGCATGTAAAGAAGGTCATGTAAAAGTAAGGTTAATCTCAAGAATCTTTTTTTTTTTATTTTTATTATTTTTTTAATTTTTTTCGCTAATTTGTTAAAGAATACCAATTGTTTACAAAAACGCGAACAAAAGCGCATCGATACATACTAATCAAACCCTTCTTTCTAGCAATCGACTGGAGCTATCTCCATGATCTTTCACACACGTTTTAAAAAAGATTGAAACCACTTTGAGGTAAAATTGCATGTCAAAAGCGATTCGTTTTCTACAGATAACGGCCAAACATCAAGACTGTCCATTTTTTACTGTGTTTCTAACCATAAAAAACTTCATCCCAAAATATATCGATAAAGCTCTTACAGATTTCGCCTAAACTTCACGAACATGGAGGCCGTTATTGGAGGAAAAAGCTCCCGTGAGCGATTTTGGAAGAACAGTTCCTAGTGCCGAGATTTACTGCTCCAAGTAAAATAGGTAATAGCGTCCAGTCATCTCGCTGCTATGACAACTCCAATGTCGTTGCAACCCTGACCATAACAAATTTTCATCTTTATCTCATACAACTGTAGTGGCAGTTATTACAAATCTTTGTTTACCCTGCTAGATGTCCTGCCCTAGCGTTTTCTGGCAGCCTTACTGACAACTTTATATGATTTACCTGGACTTTGCTAAGGCCTTTGACACTGTCGATCA